AAGTCATCATCAACAATTTTTTTACATATTTTTGTTATAAAATATGGCAGTGTGACACACAAGTCAATAGGTTTTGAAAGGGTTCTAGCCAGGAATTACTAAGGTGTGTTGCAAATAAAATTGCTAGGCAATCAGCTCAGCTTATATTATTGACAGCTTATAGGGAAGGGGAGAATATATTGGCAATATGAGCTAAATAAGTATGTCAGTTTTAAATTTATGTAATACCTGGCTTTTGTATAAAAATATTTTTTCAATAGAGCTTACAAATCTACTTTCAGGTATAGATAATGTATGACCTTTTAGATGTGTTTTTAAATTCAAAACAGAAGTAAAAAGCTTGGACAAGAACAAAATATGTTTGTCTTTACTCTAATTGATTTATGCTACAAACTTATTTTGTCAGACATAAAACAACAAAATATCAGAATAACAAACTTTTACTAGTGCTAGTAATTCAGTTATTTAACTGTCAGAAGATTTAAATAGGGACATAAGATTAATATCTGTTGCTCCTGATTTAAACACAAAATTAGAAATGTAAAGCCATTTAATCAAACTATATTGCCTTAGTTTTTTATGCCTAGGGTATTAGTATTTGTTAACAATTGTTTTCTTCATATACATGTATTGGCATTATTGCTTACATTTGCTTGTACATGATTAAGAAATGCTGACAACATTGTGAAGTTATGGCAAAGACAATTACAAATACTTTAGAATATTTCTTTTCTCTTTTTTAAAGAGATTTAAACATTTTTCTTCTCTTTTTTTATAAAGAGATTTTTTCCCAATCAATAATTTCATGTCTGAATAAATTACATCCGAAATTAGATCTATTTCAGACAACACGTTATTTTGGTTATCATTGTCAGTGTGATTTACATCAATCAACAAATCATATTCTTTTAAGTTAAAACCCTTGAAAAGGTTCCAATATAAGCAAATATTTTCATTGAAATGTTTAATAGACAAAGAATTCTATTGAAGTAGGCTGGAAAAATCGGCAATTAAGTTGGACTTCCGGTTTCACTTTTCGCAACTTTATAGAGATTAAATAGAATCTATTATGCGTCTGCTGTGACTGACACTAGTGACCTAACGGCTAATTATTTACTAGTAAGATGAATTTATCTTTCGTTTTGAATCATAGCCTAAAAAAATGTTATTTTATTAATTATTTTCAGTGAATTTAGAGACATCAGGTCAATGAAATTTTGAGTAGCCCGACGGGATACCCAGCTTGGAAACTCGGGTAGTCCTTGGGGAAAATTGGTAGCCTCGGGCTAACGGACCATCGTTAGTGTCGAGCCCTGTATATCTAAAAATAGTGGGGGGGGGGGGAGAAACAAAAACAAAAGTTAAACTTGGCTAGAAAACTGTCATTACTGCAATCTTCTGATGTTCCAAATTCAATACATGGCAAGATTGTAATACAAATCTAGGAGTCTATAAGGTTTAGATTGTCTGACATGCTTTATTTTTCTGCACACATGATTTATCCCCTTAACATTCTGGAACCGAAGATGATCTAAGCCTTTGCACCTAGTATAGAACCAGCCTGGCCTGAGCATGTCCATACAAATTTAAATGTACTGTTCCAAATTCATGACAGGGCAAGTATATTACACAAGTACTGTAGGTTAAGAGTTAAGGAGTTACTTCCCTTTGATATGGTTTTTAGCCCAGAATGATCATAAGCAGATGACACTAAACCACTTGCATATTAGATTTTAACACATACTATAATGTCCAACAAACTTCCGGACAAGTCCTACAGGAACTGATGAAAAATAGGACAAAACCATTCAATCAACTGTGTGACTTCTTATGCTAATGAGTGGCATTAAAAATAGTCAAAGTTATATGATTTCAATTTTAAGTGAAGCAATTACAGGGGCTGGAAACCCTAAGTCTAAGAAAAAATTTAGGAAAGTTTAGACTAACATTTACAATTAACAAGTTAAAAAAATATTAGGGATGTATTGTTCTGGAAAAAAAGAAAGAAAGGGATTTTAAATAGTAAAATTTAAGTAGGATTATTAATTAACTTCACAGTATGAAAAGTTTATCTTGTTACACTGGTACAGGGAAAATTAATCTAGTGGTGATAATTAAAACTGTGTCAAGCATTACGTTACTATTTTTAACTTTGTGGACACTACGATGGTATGATGGTATGAGAGGTACAAAGTGCACGGAGTGAATGTTATTCTGGATTGTTTGATACGGATTATTTCGTAATTGTTCTTAAAAGTCTTGTGACCATTATATAATGTAAGGTTATGAATTATTTATATCTTAATAATATCAGCTGTTTTCTTTCTTAAATCAGTCTATACTACTTTTGGCTAGTCTACTCTAGATTGAGTTGAAATGGAAGTCAAAGTTTTGTTACTTTTATCTTTTATATTCTACTCAACATTTTACATTTATGATTGATTCTGTATCCAAATGGGTTAAGGTCACTGACTTCCAAACACTTTGGTCTCACCACAATGTGTTTGAATCCCATTAGGGCAGTGGTTTTTCTCACTTAATTGGGTAAGGCCTCTTGATTTTGGGGGGGGGGAATTATCACTAAAATTGCTAATTTGGGAAATATAAAAGCTGGGGTAAGTTCAGAATTTTGGGAAAACTGCATGATTTTAAAGAAAATTTCAATTGGGAAGAGGCTTTTTGTTGGCCTATGTTATATAAAATAGAAAATCACTTTAGGGACTTTGAATTCTATAAATATGAGGAAGCTATCCATTTTAAACAGAACATATTAAGGTCCATGGTTATACTTGAGTGCTCACTTAATGTTTCTGAAGTGTTGCAGGAAAGTTTTATTCGGTCAGTTAAATTAGACAGTCCTTATATGGTCTCAGATTGTAGGTGTAACCTAAAAGCCAACTTAAACAAAACAATTTTTGAGGTTTTAAATTGACTCTCAGAGATTTGTTTTATTCAATATTATGTGATTAGATGTCAAATTTTGTGAAACTATGATATAGTCAAAATATATTGACGTGCCAAAGCTTGATTCTGAGATATTTTCGTTCTGGGGCAGAATCTCGCTTTAACGTAGAGGCGAGATATTGCCCAGACACGAAAATAGCACAATATCTCGTCGCGCAGTACAATTAGTTGGACTAAACTATGATAGTAACATTTAACATTTTAGGGCGAGGACAAATTTTGTTACATGTGTAAAAGCTGCAGGATGTTTATTTCATATACATATGAGCCGCGTCATGACAAAACCAACATAATGGGTTTGCGACCAGCATGGATCCAGACCAGCCTGCGCATCCGCGCAGTCTGATCAGGATCCATGCTGTTCGCTTACAGACCCTATAACAAGTAAAGAAACTGCTAGCGAACAGCATGGATCCTGATCAGACTGTGCGGATGCGCAGGCTGGTCTGGATCCATGCTGGTCGCAAACCCACTATGTTGGTTTTGTCGTGACACGGCTCATAATTATGTGTTACAATGTGACTAATTGTAAAAGCATTTGTTTTGGGCAATCACCAACTATGTTGTAAATGTTTCTAAAATGTAATATGTTTTGAAGAAAGTGTGATGTTTCACATTTGACTAATGTATTTACATTTATATACATATCATTTTGTATGATGACTCCTTTTAAGGGAAAATATATATAATATACTGACTGAAAAGCAAACAGTGCAGTCTATGATAGTTGCCATGGGAAGATTCCTTATTAGTGTGAAACAATACCATTCAAATTTTGGAAAGTCCGTGATTTAACTTAGATGCCAGCTTTTGCTTACAAATTATGAAGGAACGAGAAGTTGACACCTTTCTTCTAGAATAATCTCAGAAAGTTACCATGTGACCTTTACAGTGGGTGATTTAAAACAGAACAAAAACTAATAATGTCAGTGGTAGTCTGATAAATGTACAATTTTATTTTTATTTACAAGACACATTTACATGCCTTGCCATATGATATTGGAATAGAGAAAATATTGAAAATGTTATACAAGAACTTTACAGGAATTTTATAAAAGAATTTTACAGGAATGTAAAGTGTTGGTAAATACATGTTATACTTATAAATTGTCTACATCTGATATTTGCTAGCCAGATGTAAATAATAAACACGGAGAAAATAGTTTCGTGCCCACCAGAAATGTCATTTATAATTCATCTTTGTGTACATATTGAAAATTGTACAGTGTGTTATTAGACATATCTGTTACATTATAAGACACCTTTAGAGATGTCGGTTAATGGGGGATAGTGACATTCAGACTGGCGTAACTTTAAGATTGATGGTATATATAGGTAAAATAGGGGCGGAAAATGGAACAGTTAAAGAATGCCCTGAGCAGCAAAATTGAAAAATATTGTAGACTGTGCTTGTTCATAGATGGTTATTGTAAATGCAATGTACCATCAACTCCCCTTTTCACAAGCTTAAGTAGAACTCAGTATTTAAATACATGTATAAACATGGTATTAATTAAGCGTTTGGAAAATACAGGGTGTTTCATAGTGTCTATCCTTAATCTAAGCATTAATATATATTCTATCTAGAAGTGTTAATATGGCAATGATATGGAACCATGAAATCTGAAAATTGTGTGTTATTCCACGGAAAGTGACACACAAGTTTGGTTCCTAAAAAATGAATATGTGTGCCTTTGTGTAAACAGTAGGAAATACTAATTAATTTCATGACTTTAAGAAGGACAAGTCTGTTCAAGATATTTAGCAATGGAAACATTTAATGTCAGTTTTAACCAAATGTTAAAGTTAAATAAACAAATTGAGTTATCTCATTATAGAAATTACACATATTATACATGTTTAAGACATTTTTTTACCCTATATGGATATTCTGTTGTTGTTGTTTTTCTATTTCAGAAGGCCACATTGGAAAAAAGATATATATTACTGTTGTATATTCTTACTGTGTTACCTTCTCTAAATAAAGGTATTATTATTATTATTATTATTATCATAATTACGATATTATATTTCAGGCATGTGCAGAATTTCTCGAGCTTGCCCAGACTGATGGAAAGAGATGGTACAAAATGTTAGAACACGAGTATAACCAGAAATTAAAGCTACAGGAGCTTCTAGAACAACTTGCCAAAGATCAGAACACGCTGGAAATTCAGGCGAAAAAATCTATGCTACCTGTAACAGGGGAGAATCTAGGTATGTTGATATAATCCTTGTTTAAATTAATTTTGTTTTAGACAGAAATGTTTTTCCGTATGGGGGTACCTGTTTGGCAGAGGTCTTTAGTTTGCTAACTTGCATCAGCTAATGGCCATAGGCATACTGGTATAGTGGTTTATATAAGAGTTGTGGTGGGTTTTTTTTTGGCTGTTGTTTTTCAACCATTTAACCACTAAATTTATTAAAGGGACTTTACTGAGGTTTTTAGCTCACCTGAGCTTGCTCAGGGTGAGCTATTAGGATCGGTGAATATCCATCGTCCGTCGTACGTCCACAATTGCTTGTGAAAACACTAGTGGTCACACTTATGACTCAATCATCATCAAACTTTGTCAGGATGCTTGTTTAGTCAATTGCTCAGATGAGTTCGAAACTGGGTCATTTCGGATGGAAAACTAGGTCAAAGGAGCTAAAAATAGAAAAACCTTGGGAACACTCTAGTGGTCACATTTTTGACCCAATCATCATCAACCTTTGTCAGAATGCTTGTTTAGATTATTGCTTGCATGAGTTCGAACATGGGTCATCTCCGATGAAAATCTAGGTCACAGGAGCTATAAATAGAAAAACCTTGTGAACACTCTAGTGGTCACATTTTTGAACCAATCATCATCAAACTTGGTCAGAATGCTTGTCTAGTCAATTGCTTGGATGAGTTTGAACATGGGTCATCTCTGATGAAAAACTAGGTCACAGGGGCTAAAAATAGGAAAACCTTGTGAACACTCTAGTGGTCACATTTTTGACCCAATCATCATCAAACTTTGTCAGGATGCTTTTTTAGATAATTGCGCAGATGAGTTCGAATATGGGTCATCTCTGATGAAAAACTAGGTCACAGGAGCTATAAATAGAAAAACCTTGTGAACACTCTAGTGGTCCAATATTTTACCCAATCATCATCAAACTTAGTGTGGATGCTTGTCTAGTCAATTGGTCAGATTAGTTTGAATATGGGTCATCTCTGATGAAAAACTAGGTCACAGGAGCTAAAAATAGAAAAACCTTTTGAACACTCTAGTGGTCACACTTTTTACCTAATCATGAACAAACATTGTCAGGATGCTTGTTTAGATAATTGCTTTGATGAGTTTGCACATGGTTTATCTCCGATGAAAAACTAGGTCACAGGAGCTATAAATAGAAAAACCTTGTGAACACACTAGTGGTCAAATTTTTGACCCAATTATTAAGAAACCTTGTCAGGATGCTTGTTTAGTCAATTGTTTGGATGAGTTCGAACATGGGTCATCTTGGGTGGAAAACTAGGTCACAGGAGCTAAAAATAGAAAAACCTTGTGAACAGTCTAGTGGTCACATTTTTGACCCAATCATCATCAAACTTTGTCAGAATGCTTGTCTAGTAGATGCTTGGATAAGTTTGAACATGATTTATCTCGGATGGAAAACTAGGTCACAGGAGCTAAAAATAGGAAAACCTTGTGAACACTCTAGTGTCACATTTTTGACTCAATTATCATCAAACTTGGTCAGGATGCTTGTCTAGGTAATTGCTCGAATGTCAAGCTCGAATATGGGTCACCTGGGGTCAAAAACTAAGTCACACTGCTCAAATATGGATAATCCTTGTTAACACTAGTGGTCACATTTTTGACACACCTGTCATGAAACTTGGTCAGAACGCTTGTCTAGGTAATTGTTCGGATGAGTTTGACGGGTCAGGTGAGCGATCTAGGGCCATCTTGGCCCTCTTGTTTAACATGACCTTTTTGAGATTTGTGTACTCAAATCAGGCTAAGAATTGTACTTACAATCAATTTTTCCATTCAATTTGGAATGTATTTCTTAATATAATCTTGTGCATTATTTTCTGTTTCAAGTACCCCATTTTATATCAGCAAGAACTTCAAATGTTTAGGCTTATTGATATGAGCAGGGTAGGCCTTTAATGGACTACATGTAGTTCAGCTTTTTGGAAAAGTACATTATCAATGTATGTAGGCTTACTTAGCTCTATATTGATGGCAATGATAAATCACTTTTGGTTTCATCTGTTCAAAATTTAAATATTACTTTTTTGCCATAGTAGGGCCTGGCATGGGTAAAAGTTTTCATGATTATTCCTGAAGTTCAGGATTTTCAGTCTGCTGAAAGCCTTCTATTTATAGAAAAACTGCCAAATATAGGATTTTCCGGAGTTTTAAAATTTCCTACTTTTACCAATTGGGCTTGCTTCACCAAGTTTTTCAGACCTTTTGTCTAAATTTGCGTTGGGGGAAGCTAGCAAGATAAATTACGATACATGTAAGCCAGTTTATATAATTCTATGATGATACCACACTTATGCTGAGAGATGCACAGAGTAGTACTTGAAATCTTTTTCCACTAGAAATTCTTGAATGTTGACATAATATTATGACCTTCGCATTATGTAGAAATAACTTGATTTGTAAAGTTAAGTTTTCTCGTATATATATATGTGTGTGCTCAGAGTACAGAATTAGTCTCAGTATAAACTGACTGTATAACATTGAAACATCTTCACAAAAGATGAAAATTAAGTTATGTAATGTATGACATGGTAATAAAATAGCCAAGACTTCAATTTGAGGGGGAATGGGTGGGGGGGTATTACCATATGTGGATTGAGGCTTCTACAGAATCAACAAGG